TTGTAGTACTTCAAACTTAGCAGAAGCCATATTTATATTAAAAGATGATATACAAATAAGGGTTCAAGATATTAGCAAGGCACAATCAGAGACTCGCATAAATTACTGCAATTAAAAATCATAGTAGTACACTTAGTAATACAAGATTTTCAAGTTTCAATCACAATCAAGGAACATGCAGTGCAAACACAGATAAAGAATACAACAGTAGAGATCAGCCAGTCTATGTTTCATAGACTTCTCCTGCAAGATCCTCCAGATACACACCTGTACTGGATTTATCTCAGATTCGCAAGACCTCGTATGAGTCTTTGGACAAAGATTAGTCTCCAGGGGGGTTTTATTGTGTATGGTAGATCAAGGAAAAAATTGCGAAACCCTAATTTTTGAAAAGATGAACTTTACAAAAATAAAAGATCTTACCCAACAGGTTTACAATAAACTCGATATCTTTAATACTTGCTTAATAGCAATTCCAAATTTTTTTGATCTACAATAAATCGAACACTTTCTGCGAAGATCAAGGTATCTTGTTCTCAGTTCAGGCTCTAATACTATGATCTTAGTTTACAAGTTCATCATGAGAGATGACAATACTATGATCTCTTCTACACAATTGCAAATCCTTAAGAAATCACACAAGAAACCCCACAATAGCCAACAGAAATCTCGATTGCAAGAAAACCCCTATATTCACAACAATCACTCAGGTACATAGATTTATAGAGGCTAACAATACTATGATCTCAGTTTACAAGTTCATCATGAAAGATGAAGAACACAAATGACAAACCCTAATCTACAAAAATAGGTTACTCTCAAAAGAACCAGAAGACGAAAGAACTCAAAAGGCAGAACCAAGTGAAAAATATCTGCATTGTGCACGTATATATATCTCACACCATCAAGACAGTAATCCAAGGGCCAGAGATAAAACACTTGTCAACATCTCATAAATGGCGCTTCATTAAGAAAAATTCATTCAGCCAAAACACGACTTCAAGTCAATTTCTAGGAGCACATCATAGATCAATGGTTCGAGTCTCAACAACAACTTTTGTTATTGAGATTTGAGGAGTAACATATGGGCACGTGGACCATCTCCCAATTGTTTTAGAGCTTGTACAACTGAACAAAACTCAACTCTGCTTATTGAATGTTGGAAAGCAGCCTCTGCTAATTGAAGGTTGGGGGAAGAAGATGATGTGGGATGGGGAAGGAGATGAGGTAGGGTGGGTTGGAGAAGAAAATAAAGTTTTAAAAATTTAGGATTGTGGTTAGCACATATAAAAAAATTGAGTATAATTTGCAAATAAATAAATAAATTGGGTATTGCAACTACAATTATTCCTATTTAATTTAGTAATTTTTTTATATTATTTTTAACAGTCAAACTAACGGATCTTGACAGCATGGAGTATTTCGAACAAAAGGTTTAAAACATGGCCTTTTCTACGGTTTCCAATATGTAGGAATTTGATTACGAATGATTAGACCATTTGCGTCTGTTCTACAGCACTTAAATTTTTGGAAACAATTTATTATATAGTGACTGTGGCCCATTGAGTAGATATGTCAAATTAGATCACTTACAAAACATTTGCCACATTTTTGACCTTTTATTGATTGAAAATTTTCTAACATTTCAAAAATAACCTTCCCAAAACTGAGAGAACAGGATAGCAGACCGTGGCTTTTGGGGCGAGATACATTGAAGGGCAAGGCTGTAATTTCCAAATGGTTCCATGAGAGCAGGAATAGAACACCAATTTACAACGGCTGTAAATGTATTAAAAGGTGATAAAGGCTGTCTGGTGGACTAGTATTTTTTAATTCATCTTTTCCTGTTTAAAAATGTAAAATCTCTTTAAAAAGCCAAATTAAAGGCTATGAATAATAATTTACTTGGTTAAAGTTGGTTCATGGACAACAATAGCAAACGAAGTAGACAACTAGGATTTTTTTTTCCCTAATAGAGAACATAAACTCAAAGTACCCTATATAGCCTAGAGTTGACCTAAAAACTCTCAGGCAATTGATTAAGAATATATCCTTGTTGGGGCCAAAGTGTAAGTTATTTCAAGGGCTATTTTAGTGTTAGTATATAGCAATAAGATAAGGAAAAAAAAAAGGAAAAATTTATTCAATAGTCATCAACTCTAAAAAAAAAAAAAAAGAGCAAGTTAGAACTTAAACCTAGCATTATTGTTGAACATTTAGGATGTTTGGGAGTGATTAAAATTCGATTAAAATTGAAAATATAGTCGTTATTGGGTCCCACTCGTCTAATAAAAATCAACAATAACGTCTAATTTTTCAATTTTAATTCGATTTTAATCTCTACCGAACACGTTCTTATATCAAAAGCAGTCCAAATCTTCATAATTTCTCATGTAACACTCGTAAAAACATACCCCGCTTTAAATATTTGGATAATTGGACAAGATGAGAAATGAAACTTAGCTTCTTAGAAAATTATATATGTAAAGAGACACTTGACGATTTAACATAGATTTGTACAATTCCTATGGTACGAAACTGATTATGTAATTATAATAAAAAATTGAAGATTAACTTAACCATGTTTGACACACATTCTTTTAAAATATATTTTTTTTCAAAACTCATTTTTAACCACATATTTTTCATCACATCAATAACTTCTCTTTACTTTTTAACCACATATTTCCCATTATATCACTATTTAAAATGCGTTTTTTTCTTCAATAATATCCATCAAACACATATTTACTTCAAAAGCAATAATACGCAGGACAACGTCGCAATCATACGCATGATTATTTTCGTCACAATAATGGATAATTTTTTTATTCTTTATTGTTGTTAAATATATCGTCGTATACCATATAAGACATTATCAATTACTTTGTATACACTTTTACAACATACCATCACGTGCATGTTGGCATCTAATAGTTTAGCTACAAGAGAGAGGAAAATGGAAGAAACCAACTCAGGGAATTATACAAACGTTACCATTTGGAGTAATTGAACTCTAATAAAAGTTTCTTGATTTGAAATCTCCAAATTTTTGTCGTGTGTACGTCTCTTGTCGAGTCATACCGTAGTAACTAAAATTTTGGAGATCTCAAAATCAAGAGAATTTGCTTGGAGACCCCAAGACTGCTACTGCAATTTCCCTATAACTTATCCCACCAACAAACAAACACATCCATCAACAAATTCTACCTATATTTTGCAAAACATGTAAATCTTCTCGACGTTAATATTGAAGAAGAAAAAGAAGCTAAAATATTTATTCAAGTATGTTCCCAGGCGACAAACGCAATGGAGTACTGGATGAAAAGCCTTTCTATGCTAGTTGTTAAGGAAAAATGATGAAAAGCACATATAAACTTAGAAAGCAAAAATCTCAATAGCTTATCTTGCAAACTAAGCACAATCAGGAACTAGAAAAAATCTCAACTGTCAATACATTGTTAAATATTTGATCGATCATGCTTATGAAATAAAATGAAAAGAATCCCGGACAAGAAAGATACGCGTCTTTTTTACACTAAAAATTCAACATCTCAATTGAAAAATGGTGCCAATATTTATGCAACTTGTTGATCTAACACTTCAACCTAAAATTTTTAATTATTTAAATAGGAGAAATTGATATAGAATGTTCAATGCATGTCCAACTGCAAATGAAAAGAAATAAGTTATTGCTCTAAAAAGGATATATCATGTTTGGTCGTGCTTAATAGTATCTTAAAGAGTAATCATGTCTAGCACCAGTAACGTTGAACACGAATCTAGATGTCAACATATCATATGTTCTATTAAGTGGGCCATAATTCATTGTATTTAACTGAACCTATAATTTAATGTCACTAGTGCTGTCATCTAAGCTGATTTTACATACAAATGGTGCTAAATAGCACTAGTCCATCTTAAAACCTACTTTCTTGAAGTTAGAAGCTACTTTTAAGTATTCCCGAACAAATACAATGCCTTCTAATACTCTAACTTCTATGCATATTTAGGCGACATTTGTTTCTTGGATACAAGCAAAATGTATGGATATTAAGAGAGATGAGTTTTTCCATTTTTCCATATATATATATATAGATCAATAAGGCCTTTAATGAATACCTAACTAAAATTTCCCGATCAAAGAGTTCATGTGAGTGTACTTGACTTACTTAATGATATCTCCTCTTTGGGGAACATATAAGATTGATATGACATAATTGAGAAATGGGTCATGGATTCACATATTAATGACCCCTTTCCCCTCCCTCAAAACACACACAAATGTCCATTGGTCTATAAATGTATGGTTGGAAATAAGATGCAGTAATGGACACGACTTGACATGACAATAGACAAGAAAGGACAAATTGTAAGACTGTAGTCGAGTTCCTTTAGAAGAAGCTCTCAATTTAACCTAGTCATCATAAGATGAGTTATAAGGATTTTGGGTTGCCGTGACATGCTTATAATTAATTTCAGTTTCAGTTTCAAAATAAGTAAAAGCACAAGTAAGCAAAAGAGGAAAATTGAACTCTCCCTCCTTCCTAGCTATTTGCAGCACCTGTGACAATGTTAGTGCTAGACAAAGCTGACAATGTAATCTTCACAAAGTGACTCATCCTTTTCCTTTTATATCCAGATCCTGATTTGCAAATACCAATTAAAAAAAAAAAAAGCGCATTGAACATGATATTGCAAATCTATGACAATTTGGTCTCATAGATCTTAGTACGGCCTGCTACTAGTACAAAGACTAACATTTTATTTTTGCATTATATGGAATTAAAGAACTTTAAACATGACTAAAATTAGTAATAGATGCATTATAGATACAAAGAGCATAATCTAGGCATAGTTTTTCAACAGCAACATAAAGAAAGCTAATACATTAGAGGAAAAATTTTGGGTACCTTTCATAATCCTCATAGATTATATTTAATAATTAATACTTTGAGATTTGGGTAGAAATCTCATGCAAATGGTGACAACAAATAGTACTAGATTTGATTTGGTGGTGGCGCCGGCTGCTGTTGCTGCTGTTGTGGTGGTGGTCGCTTCCTCTTTTTCTTTTCGTAGCTGATTCCCCGAGCTTTTGACTGAGAGTCTCGAACTTCACGCAAGTAAAGCCTAACTGCTCGAGCACCAAAAGGGTTTGTTTCAGGCTTGCCTCCATTTTCTTCGTAAGCCGCCCTAAGGCGGCCGATTAAGGCGTCGAGGCTGCCCCAAGCTTGGCGCAGGGGACACGGGCATGGCGCAGGTGGGTTCGGGTGGCCATAGAAGGGGCAAAGCTGAGTGTGGACTTTAGTTTTCCCAAACTGATCTAAGTACCTGAGAAATTCAAGAACATGTGCGCCACTGCACCGGGAAAGGGACAGCGGCGGGCGGTGGTTCCTTAAGTACTGCCCAAAAGTGTTCCAATCTCGACGCTTCTGGTTCTCGTATCGACTTAGGGTAGTCGACGATGGAGAGATGGAGGATGAAGAACCAGAAGGTGATCCCACCATTGAGTTAGGGTTTTGAGGAGTACTGATAGCAAAACTGTTGATTTCAGTGATTGAAGAATCCATTTCTTGGACTGGAATTGGATCCATGTTTTCTTTGCAAGCTTGATCTAGAGAGCGACAGAGAGAAACAGTACTAATCAATCTGTTTTTTCTTATAATAATAATAAATCTAAAGTTTGATGAAACAATCCTAGGAAACCTTGAAAGGTTTTCTTTTACTTTTTATGGTGCAAACATGTGAATTGAAACTGATGATAATTTATCCTCGAAAAGGGGAAGAAACTGTAGTTATACTCTGTGTAGAGTAATGGTAAAATGGTAAGAATGGAGGGACCTTGTTTGGCTTTTGTGGAAATGGAAAGAAGTTGACAGTACATAGAGATGATAGATTGAGACAGGAGAGAAAGCTGAGGAGTGAAAATAAGAGGGAATAATATGATTTTGTTTCTTCAACAATCAACCTTTTTTCATTTTTTTCATTGATTGACACAAACTTTTCTATTTTTACCAAAATGTCCTAATTTCCTTTGAAAAAACGTAACATGTTCGACAAGTTCGACCGCACGATAAGTTAAGAATTTTGTTCTTTATACTATTTAGTTAACGTATACATCTCATATAGTGTCGACATTATCATTATGCGTGATTTGAGAATGACCTACTTAACTCGTCTTTAATAAATTTGACTCTCTGTCGAGTTGAAAAAAGTACGACGTATGTCTTGATCTTGACGACTAAATAATGATTTGTTATTCTCAGAAGCTTCATCAACAAGCCTGAAATGTCTTGACACCTTCGTCAAGAAGTGTTTGTTTACCTTCGATTATAGAGATTTCAAGATAGCCTTGATAATTTTTGGATCTTAAATTTACAATTTATGAGGTTTTCTATTTACACGTTATGAATTTATTGATATTATATAATTATATTAATCCTGATATTATATAAATATTGAAAGGATTGATAGCATGGGACACTCACGTGTGCGGGGTCTTAGTCCTTGAGAATACTTATATAGTGTTTACCGTTGTTCGGATCTTGCAAATTTAACTTTTTGAAAGGTCAAGCTGCCGACGCAATTAGATATTGCTATGTGAAGAACTTGAAGAAATGGAACGAACACGTATCATAGTATGTTCGGTAAGTTGATTGATATATATTTTTATGAGTTAAATATATCAATGATCATCGAACTTTACACATAGTATTTCAAGTCATCCCATTTAATTTTGTTTCATTATAACTGCTCAACTTTATATTTAGTGACACTCAATTTGATTTTATTTCACTGTACCATCCAATTTCATATAATGTTTCATGACGGCTACATAATTTCATATAATGTTTCATCATGACCACTTAATTTCTTTACACTATTTTCATTAATTTTAAAATGAATAAAACACAGAAATGATCTAATGAGTACCGGTGCTCATCTTATCCTAAGCACCGATGAGTTGGCACATTAATTCATTGGTGGATAAAAATTTTGTGAGTTCCAATCCAGCAATGAATTAATGTGTCAACTCATCGGTGTTTAGGATAAGATGAGCAAATAAGTTTCTATTTTATTTTATTTTTTTAGAAACCTTTTTTTTTAAGATAACCTTTTATATTATTTTATTTTATTTTTCTAAATAACTTTTTTTTTTAAAAATAACTTTTTATTTTTTTTTATTTTTCTAAGTAACATTTTTTAAAATAAGTTTTTATTTTATTTTATTTTGAAATAATTTTTTTATTTTTATTTTTATTTTTTTTAAAATTACTTTGTATATATAACACAAAGTTCTCGTTTTACCCTTTTTAAAATTAATAAAAATTCTGAAAAGAAGTTGAGTGGTTATTGTGAAATGTTATATGAAATTGTGTGATCATAATGAAACATTGTATGAAATTAGATAGCCATGATAAAATAAAATAAAATTGAGTGGCTATGTTGGTACTAAATATAAAGTTGGGAAGTCATTGTAAAACAAGATTAAATTGAATGACCATAGTGACACCAAATATAAATTTGAGTGATCATTGGTGGATTTACAAATGAAAAATAATTAAGTTAAAAGTTTGTCAATTATGATATAATTAATGTCAAGTACTTGATACCATGACATGTTTGTCAATTAAGTGAAACTTGTCCATTGTGTTATTTCTATTTTTACCAAAACATCCTATGTTCTTTTTACTAAGCGATGTGTTCCACAAGTTTGACCAGACAATAAGTTAGGAATTTTATTCTTTATAACGTTTAGTTAACATATGTATCTTATATAGTGTCGACGATACCGTGAGGTCTACTTTGAGAATGGCCTACATAACATGCCTTTAATTAGTATTATTATTAAGTCGGATTGAAAATGTACGACATATGCCTCGTCTTGATAACAAAACAATGATTTCAATTTGTTATGCTCGGAAGCTTCATCAACAAGTCATAAGGCCATGCTTGATTCAACATATTTTCCTTGAAAAATGGAAAAGTTTTTTTCATTTTCCATCAAATGTGTTGTTTGATAGCAAACTTTTCCTTGGAAATCATTTTCCCACCTAACCCGCTCACGCGCCTGTTTTCTTGCTTTTCAAGGAAATGATTTTCTTGCCTTTTTTGTGGTAAAAGTTTTTCCAACTTTTTTTTTTTGGCAATGGAAATAAATTTCATAACCAATTGTAAAAATAAAAAAAAAATCACTTTAATAGACAATTTTTATGTAATTGATTAACAATTTCCTGAAAAACAAGTTTTAGACAATTATTTTATCTGAAATTCATTTTTTTTCACCAATTTTTCACCATTGCAATCCAACGGATCCTAAGTATATTTTGACACCTTTGTGAAGAGAGAGCTTATTTACCTTTGATCATGCTTTGATATTTTTGGAGCCTTAAATCTATTATGAGTTTATTTATATATAAAAATAATGAAAGGATTAATAGTATGTGGAAACTCACCCGTTTGAGAGTACGTAGCGTTTTTCATTTTCAAATCTTGTAAATCTTGCCGACACAATTAGATATTGCGTGTGAAGAGCTTTACTTGCGGAAATAAAATGGAAGTGTTATCATAACATTTTTAATTTTTTAGTAAACTGATTGGAAAATTATGTATAGTATTACAAATGAAAAATAAGTTAAATGCTTGTTTCTTATGATTTACGTACTTGATATCGTGACATGTTTGATAAGGCTGATTGATTACCGTCCAAACTGATATGATATGCCTAACACATTCTAGCGTGACATGTAATTTTATATTCACGGAGATTATATCTACTCTTCTTGTTCTCTTTATGATCCAAATTTAAAGTTTTATAACATTTTTTAAAGTTCAAAAGGTTTGACTTGATAAGTATTTTGTTAATAAATCGAATGTACGGGTGTCTATACTGCTCGAACTAAATTTTTCACTAACAATTCAATTTATTTGTTGAAAATTATATGAATTGTATGACTTGCCTTATGTTATTTGATTTATCTATGCTCGAGTCTAGAAAAACACGTTTCTTGGCTCGAGAAGGAATCACTTGGTCCTCCATGTACATTCATAGTACTGTACAACACAGGCAGTACCCATGTCAAGTTTAAAATGCTTCATAGAAGTCCAATTTTTCACAAAATAAATCAAAAAATTTAATTAAAGTTATTTTTCATGTTTGAAAGTTTTATAATATAATCTAATCAAATCTAATTTAGTCTTTGGTTAATTTCCATTATTTTCAAAATATATTTTTCTATCTTATTTTCAACAACACGTTCTTCAATAAAATAATATTATACGTAAATCCAAAATCCTTACTTATTTTTCAACCACACATTTTCCATTAAAATACTATTTCAAAATGCATTTTGTTTGGAAAATGAAAATGGTGGTTGGGATTGTCTACTGGGAGTGGAGGAAGGGGTGGGAGCAGGTGGAGAAAGATAAAAGTGTTTTTTTTATTCTTCTTCATTTTTTTTCTTTTTTTTGTGCTCACTAACTTCGATATACATAATTCATCTTATTAGTCATTTCTAAACCCTATCATCTAAAGATTTAGTAAATAAAAAACACATAAATTTGAATATTTTAAATCTTGAGATCACAGTTCAAAAATAGCAACAAAAAATTTTAGCATTCATTTTTATGGCAGAGGGAGGTGGGGGCCAATGAGTCCCAAGCCTCCATTAAAATTGAAAAAATAGTCGTTATTGGATTTCACTCGTCTAATAAAAGTCAATAATAACGGTTAGTTTTTCAATTTTAATCCGATTTTAATTTCTATCGAATACGCCCTAACCCTTAAAAATTTAGATTAAAATATAAATCAAAGTCAAATAATTTTAATCAAACATTTTTTTGGTCCACAATCTTTCAACCACACATCTCATTAACTTTTATTAAAACCTACTAAGAATATGACATTTATCTAAACCAAATAGGGCTTAATGACATTTTTCTTATTCTTTTTTAGTTTTTTTAATATTTTTAAATTTGATGTTTGAAATTATTTATGTATACCCCCACTAAATTCAAGTCTTGACTCCGTCACTTTTGTTACAATTCAAATGTGAAGATTAAGAATAATAGTTAATATGAAAGTACTAAAGAATATGGTTAAGTATTCCATTAGTAAAAACAAAACGAATAAATTGTATGCCAAAGCAAAAGAGATTTACTTTAAGCAAAACATCATTGTAGCTTAACTTCACACTTTTCCTTTAAAACGATGACATTATAATCTTAATGCAGGAGGAAAGAATCCATGGACAGTATTGAGGAAGTAAGAGATGGGAAGGTTTGCTCGACGTGTTTAGAACGTAAATTAAAAAGATTTTAAGAGGATTAAAGAGAGATACAAATGGTTCTTTATTGTGTTTTAAAGTATACTAATGTGTTTAGTTTAACGTATCAAATATGCTTCCTCGAAGAGTGTATAGTAAACTAAACCAACTAGAATTCAAGCTTCAATCCAGCGACAAGTCTCTAAATTTCAAGCCATTACACACGTTTGAGGTCAACTACGTGAATCCTATATTGCATTGCATTGGATGCTACGAAGAATTATAAAGTAAATTGCCTAAAATGCAACTTCCATTGCGATAAACTTATCATTTGACACGTTTGATCTTCATATATGTGTAAATATCGATTTTGAACTTCATCTTTGCACGAAGAACATAAACTATTTTATCTGAAAATTGACACGTAGAAGAAGAGACGAACATTAACTATTTTACCTGAAAATTGACATGTAGAAGAAGAGACGTACCAATACTAGTTCGTAATACGCGTCAATAATTGTAAGAACGAAAATAATATGTTGTATCGACGATGCAACACCAACAACAATAAACTAGCCATTATATCGAACAAGGACTTCATTAACATGGATTGACATTGTTGAAAAAGATTTGATCTTATTGGATGTTTCAATAGGTCGACAGATATATCAAACAGAGGGACGAAAAACAACATACAAAACTAACCCCTAAGCTAAAACATACAACGCAGACACAAATATTGGCGCCTTTCAATAGGTCGACAGATATATCAGACAGAGGGACGAAAAACGACATATAGAACCAACCACTATAAAACATACTACGCAGACACAAATATTGACGCGTTTATAATCTTCAAACAGCATACAGACGCAAAACTAGCTCAACCTTGGCACGACACACTGGGCAACTCATTTTTTTGGCTTTGATTTCATTCAAACAAGACATGCACCCGGCCATGTGACCACATGGTACACAAGCCCCCTCAATTGGGGCGTCCAAACATATCACACATGATGTAGATGCACTGGTATTTCCTTTCTCTTCAACTTCTTTAACATTTAAGTTCTCTCGATTTACCATTGAGGTTGTCGCATCAACAGGATTTGAATCAACGAAATAAGGGGGAATTGGACCGTCATCTATGAATAGGCTCTCAATTGGTGGATCTGATGGGATTGCAGTTGCAGTACTTGAACTAGGACCTGATTCTGGGCACTTCTGCTCGGTTCTACTTCCTCTTGGAGGAACACACGGTCCTGATGTACCCGAATTCTAAGAAACAACATTAACAATAACATTAACAACAGTAACAATCAAAAGTCGAATGGTGCATAAAAACTAAATTTTCTACAATTTGTACCTGTTTAATTTCAAGGTGCAAGGAAGTGGTATGGTTAGGAATTTGCCTATCAGATCCACTTGTTTCTGGTTTCTCAACTCGATGCCTGATATTTGCAGCATGACCATTTCGGATTTCATTCGTTCGCTTCTGAACTTGTGGCTTCAAAGATTCCATTTCTTCTAGTGCGAGTAGTAATTTCTGAATCGACATCAGCAACCATTCACAATTCATCCTCTGTAAATTTATCACAAATATAACACTTGACTCGTGGATAGAATGAGCCGCTTAATATCTCACCTTTTTGTAGTATGACTTTTCTGCCTGATTTGAAGCTATATATTTTTGATGAATAGGTATGGTTTCAGTAATTATACTGTAGGGCCGAAAAAGGGGGGAATAAAGGCACATAAATTATCTCATATCGTTGTAAAATGAGCAAAAATCACCCATTATCATTTTCTTACCTTGCAAACTTAAGTAGTGTAGTATACAAATCTACAATATTCTTCATCTGCCGATGAATATTTGCCTGTAAGAAAAGTCGGAAAAGTAGCTTAAGTTTTCGTGGCACATTAAACAGGGGAGCAAGTGCCCTTTAATGAAAATTTTAAAGCATCTCAAAATTTGACCTAAATTCAAATTTTTACCTCTCTTTTCTCTAAGATCAACAAATAATTATCAAATAATAATAAAGTGAACCATTCTATCATAATTATATATTTATGATAAGAGATCTTAAAAATAGTTTGTAACATCATAACAACAGACTTCTAGCTTTCGAGACACTCAATTGAATGATCGTTATTCTAATTTTATTTCATTTGAGTATCTACTATCTAAATTATTTTCATTGAATGAACATTTATTGTAGAACAATGCTACATGTACAACATATATGTTACAACATTGGATTACAACCTCTCACAAGGGATGTGGGCCCTGCAATTAAAATAATAGTGGGCCCCACCTCCCTTATGAGATGTTGGAACCCAATATTGTACAAGGAGCATTATTCTTTATTATATTAGCACTATAGAATTTGTTTACTCCTATCTCCAATGCCTTCATTCATCGGGCCACAAGTTCGTAAGTTAGAACATGTTTTTTTGTAGACATAAAGATGCAAGTAAAAGTGACGCGATTTTAGCATAACAAGTTAGAACGCGGAGGGGGGTGGACGAAAAGTCTTAAACTAACATGGCTTGGGAATTTATAACAATAAATCGAACCGCGCAAAAGGATTCATGTACACAACCCCAAAATCATTAGGTAAAAAACTTGTTTTGTTAAGCCCTTTTTTGGTACAGTTTCTTCAAAATTCACTTTTGTATAAACAAACTCATTTCAACCATACATTCTCTTCCTAAAATAATATTTTCCATAAAAAAAAAAAATCACAAAAAATCTACATCAAACATGCCCTAAGCGAGTTACTCCGAACTGGGCGACGAGTTTGACATACATGCAGTGAATTTAATCTTGATTCAAAAGCTCAAGTAATTAAATTGCTGGTATAACACATCTTATATTAAAAATTAAATTAAATATAGCAAAATTCACATTCAGAAAATGATGAATGACCAAAAAAAAAAGTCAAAACCCTAAATTTATTCTTAAGAAGCCATTAAAAATAGCGAATGGTTCCTCTTGGAGAAGGTTATCGGCGACTCCATAGTAATACCGGAGAGAAATTTTGTTGTCAAGTTCTATTTTCTCAACTGCTGCTCCGACAGTATTGTTCATCAGCTTTTTCCCAGAATTCATTTAAAAAAAAAAACCCTTTACTAGAAGATGACAACGTTGTTCTCTTTGTTATTGTCTGATAATTTGTTGTTTTGATTGAAACGTGGTAAAGACGAAGCTAATTGGCCTGAGTTGGGTGGGGTTTAGCCATAAAATTTAGAGCTTAATTTAAATTAATGTAAATAATTAATTTTAATTATATATTTTCTGGAATTCAAACTTTTAAATCACAAGTTTTATTAACTTTTATCAAAATTTGTTAAAACTTTGATTTTATGTCCAACTAAACAAAACGGGGGCTCTAGTCGAAGTGTATGGTCAATCAAATGTAAGAAAGCTTGTTTGATCCTCATTTTTTAAAAATCTCTTTTTCCTTTTTTTTTTTATAATAATACATTTTTCAACAAAATAATATTACGAGCAACTCAAAAAAAAATTTCTTCATTTTTAATCATATATTCTCTATCAATCTAATATTTCAAAATGCATTCTACTAAAAAATGAGGTTCAAACGTACCCTAAGAATAATTATGGGGAATTTTACTTCCTATTTAATCCTCATTTTTAAAAAAAATATTTTCCCTTAAATTCATTACTACAAATAATTTTACGAGTAAATTCAATTTTTTTTCCTATCATTTAATCATACGTTCTCCAAAAAATCGCTATTACAAAATTTATTTTCTAAACAATTAGAGCTCAAACAAGCTCTTAGTTAGTGACTTTGTAATTTTGAAAAAACAAAGATTTAAAAAGTGTTATTATTTGACCACGCATGTGTGCCACATGTAAGTCACGCCACGTGGAAAGTACCAGTAATTTAGTGGGAGTTACGGATGACTATGAAGGTCTTGTTAGAATTAAAGATTCTCATCAAGGTGTCTAGACCACTTCAACTATACAAAGCCCCAGTCATAGAAGCTACAAGGGAGAACTCACTATGGTGGTTTGCTAATTCGAACCACATTCATCCTGCATGGTTAAAACAAGTGTAGAACCCGTTTAACTTGAAAATTTTCTATTCATTTCTCAATCGGCATCAAGTACAATGGTTAAAGGTCCCATAAGATCTTCCCAAATAGTGTAAGAATCTTATGATTTCATGTACCTTGTTACATAATGTGCCTTATATTATTTGGAGGGATCATAAACATTCGAAGATTTGTAGTGTCACATGGCAATAAATGCATTGCCACGTGTGAATTAACCATCATAGAGAAACTAGTTATTCATACTATTTATTTCTCCGAAACTTACGTTATACTTTTTTTGACAATTGATTTGATCGTCAGATTGCAAATGATTGTTGAAACATTTATCGAATAAAAGATCTTTGCATTCTAACAGTGTCCAAATGTGCACGTAAAATATAGTTGAGAGATGGCAAGAAATTTGTTGACAGATTGATTTATTGAATTTTAGAGGTGAATAAAACATGTAGGTATAAACGTTAAAATGGCAATCACTTAAACCTTTTTATAACTAGGAGTTAATTTAGCTTTATGACATGTATGCACTATTGGAATATTATCGTCCGAAGATATGGAGAAGACAATAAAAAGTAAAAAAAAAAATCAAGAACGCTAAATATGGTGGAAAAGCTCAGATATGAGATTATTGTTTATCAAACAATAATTGCCCCTTCAAGATTTAATTGGTGTTTAAAGGGACTCTTGACAAATGATTTGTAAGATTGATCAAGCCTTGAAGAAGAAAATACTTGAGCACTTGTATTTATCTTCCCAAACTTGAAGAACACTTTGAATATTTGAATATATAAATGAATTGGATTTAAAATCTCTATAATATGGTTTTGATTGTTGATTTGTTATATGCGTAATTGAAAACTATCATCTATTTATAGATTTCAATTCAACATCCACAAAATAGTGTCATAGTAACTTGAACAGTTGATTATTTTCATGAAAAGCGGCCAAGAATCAAACCAGAAAAAACCAGTCTAACGACATACTTTTTTGGCCTATGTGTATGCATAGTTTAATCCATGCATACACATGGTAAAAACATTTTTTTCCTTCCGCTTCTGCAGGTTCAAGCCATGTGTACACATAGTTGAATAGCCTGTGTACGCATGAGCAAAACTCAAATTGCCCAATTTTGATTCCAAAACCAGTTCATCTCATTTGGGTATAGTTTATTTCATTTCATCCATTTCATTAGACCTAAATTTAATCATGAACAATAATTATAACAACCCCTTCCCACATGTTTAAGATTATGTAGATCACATATTCAAAATAACAACACTTATGTATAAGAATTAGATATCTTTCGATTTGAATCTAATCATAGTGTAATTTTCACAAAGTATTATCGAAATTACAAGTAGCGTGATAACCTTGAATAAGTTATTCATTGTGATAATAACGATGAAAACATTCACACAGATGTCATGTGTTCACAAGTTCCTCAAGTTCGCTTAGCGCTAGTATGGTCCTGTGCTCATTATTTTCATCAAATTTTTAAGAGAGAAACTCAAACTCTCTATTGAAGCGGTACCACCTCGAAATTCATATATGTGAAATTGTTTCAATATCTTTGTTACCTGTAGAGATACTTATACTTAGTACTGAACTTCATTTTAGAACTCAATTCTCATTGAGTAACAACCATCATTATATAACCAGAATAAGGTTACCATGAATTTTATAATGCTAAAACTATCCACATATCGAATGACTTATTGTTATGTTTTGAATTCGTGGATTATTTGTTAAGTAATGACAAGTAGAGTTGCCATTATTTGTGGATCGTTTAGTTTAAGAGTTCCAATCACATCCTACTCGACGTAGATATTACTAAATCTCTATTTAGAGGTTTAGTTAAATGATCCGATAAGTTCTCTATTGACTTAACATAGGCTATCACACATGAAAGATATTGAAGATGTATTCTTCGGTCCCAAATGTATTTCATAAAGTAGATCTTTAAGCCACTTGGTGTGCTGTCGTAAGCACCCAAAAATAGTCCTTAAACTTTTAAAACTAATGTAGTAGTGGAAGTAAGGATCGATCCCACGAAAAGTGTGTAATTCAATATTTTATACTTTGTACAATAATTGGGGGGTTTTTGTATGCAAACAATTGTAAATAACGTAATCAATAACAATGAAAATTAAATTAACGAAAACAATAAAAAGACTAACATTGGTCTAAGTCCACATCCATCGTCGGAAATCCACAATTGATCACATATGTAAGGATAATTCAATTCATATTTTGAATATTCACCGTTTGAATTATTTTCTTATCTCTCCTTAATTTTAGTTAATTAGAAATCAGCGTTCTAATTAACCCTAATTATTAAAAAACCCCAGACCCACTCTCAAGATTTAATTTAATAATAACTTTACACAATAGAGAAATCGATCAACTAGATAACACAAACACCAGCGGTTGTATTCAATCTATTTTAAACATTTTTCTTAAGATTCAATAACCTCGATCACAGAAAATCGTCAAATCCTAGTGCTTCACAAGTTAAAAGGATCAAACAATTACGGATTTGATATTTAATTTAGCGGTAGATTGTAACAAATAACAAACTAGTAGGCCTCCTAGCAATTAAACATAACAATCATAGAAATAAGTACAGAAGAATATTTAATACTTAAAATAAGAATTAAACAATAAGAAAAATTATTTAGATCTCACAATATGTGGTTCCAAGGCTTCAATTTCCCTCGACCAAGTGTAAAAGTTTAATTATAATTCATGAATCTCATATAGAAATAATGAAGAATGGAGTTTGGAGGTGTTCTGCACGTTCTGGTCCCGTTCTAGGGTTTTAAAATATGTATTTATAGTTGTTTCCATAGGTAGTTGACTTAAATTAGGAAACTAGAATTTTCGTATCGAAAAAGAACAATGCGACCGCATGGTTTAGAAGCTTGCAGCCGCATGGAACAAATGAACTCAGCCTTCAAACTTTCGGTAATGGTCTATGGGGTCGCATGGAATTAGAGGCTTGCAGCCACATGGTTTTATGAAACTTCTTTCGGACAGTTTTCAGTATTTTAATCATATCTTCTTTTTCTTATATCCGATTAAGGCGATTCAAGATGCGTTGAAAAGATAACTCAAAGGACTTCAACTTTTATTCAGATATAATCTTCCAATTCGATCATTTTTCATGTCGAAAATGGGTCTTAATATGAGGCTTAAAATCGGTGTATAACTTTTCGATTGGAAATTGATGTGTGATCATACTTTGACGATCTTTCATCCATTTGACATCATCTTTCAACCAATTGACTCTCAAATTTTCATCGTTTGGTTTGACACAACTTTTTTGTATTTGTACTCTAATCCTTGAACTTTCATTTCCTTTCACTTTAATCCATTTTCACCCGTTTTATGCCATATCTATCGAATTGCCACCTAAACCAAAATATGAGAATACTAAGTACATTTAGACATAAAATTGTCATATGAGCACATTAAATAAATATGTAAAATGTGTATTTTACATTCCTTTCACTACTCAATTTCTTTCTCGGTTTCTAATAGTACTACAAATTCAGATTCTATAGTTGAGTGTGTTATATACGTTTGTTTATTTGATTTCCAAGAAACAACACCTCCTCCAAGAATAAATGCCCAACCTGAAGTAGATGTAGTCTCACCTGTACTATATATCCAAATAGCATCGATAAATCCTTATAACACTTGCATATGCCAATTAAGGAATGACTATTCCATTATTCTTTATAAGTTTAGAACTTGAATCAAGAGGGGTACTATACTCTTTTATGTTCAAATGTTTGAATTTATTTGTCACATTCTCGATATAATGTGATTGACTCAAATTGTAACACCCACTAGTTTTAGCAACTTTGATATCCAAAATGGTATCAGCTTGTCCAAGATCTTTCATCTTGAATGTGGAAGATAGAAACCTCTTCTTTTTTTATTCCATTAATGTGATTACTCAAAATCAGCATGTCGTCAACATATATGCAAATAAATATAACACAATTATCGCATAATTTGGAATACAAC